AGACCAACCTCAACGGGTTTGCGCAGCCGCCGCTGGAGATGATGGGCTCCACGGCGTTCAGAGGAGGACAGGGGAACTTCTTCCAGCCGCCCAGCCCCCTCCCCGGCCCTCACGGACAGTTCGTCCCCTCGCCACCAATCCATGACGCGTCGCGCCACAACAAATCCGCCATGATGGGCGCCCGGGGGTCGAATGCGCAGCTGTATCAGCAGCCGATGGCGTCGCCTCCCCCTCCCCCACCGCCCCCTCCCCAGCCGGCCGACCCATACGCCATGCAGATGGGGATGCTGCAGAACCCATCTATGGTCCAGAAGGGCGGCTTCAGTGGCATGAATGGCTACCAGGGCAACATGGGTGCACCGCACCACTCGCAGCACGGCCTCCGCAACGACGCGCTCGTCCCGCCGGCGTGCCCTCCCCCCTTCGGCCCACAAGTGTTGAACGGTGCCGCCGCCAACAACCAGGCCAACAAGCACAGCCCGCAGCCACACCTGCCAGCCAACAACATCTACGGCGCTCCCAGCCCGGCCCACCAGCAGCTGCAGCCCCACCCACACCAGCGGCACCAACACCAACATCAGCAGCAGCAGCAGCATCAGCAGCACTACACCAGCTACACGGCAACTTCTCAGCATCAGTTGCTGCCACAGCCACAGTATCCGGGCTATGGTGGCTATCAAAATGTGTCGGCCTACCGCCCGGCGTACCCCATCCCTGGGGAGGGTGACGCCCCTGTGGCGGCGGGGATGAACCGTGAGTTGGAGCTAGGGCCAGCCCAATTTCGCCCCGTCCGTGAGCCGGAGCGAGGGCCGGTGTTTCGTCGAGGTGGTGCTGGAGGTGGGGGTATGGGCCGACAGCATCAGTGGCACGAGGGCGGTGGTCACGGCAACAGGCGGGATGGGCAGCACCAGCGGGAGGGGGACGCCCCGCCCTACCGGGGACGCCAGTCGCCAGAGAACTTCAACTACTTCAATAGGCAATATCAATACAACCACTACCACCACCAGCAGCAGCAGGTACGTACGGCAAAGAACAGCTGCACACACGCACCCACCCCCACACCATGGGACATGATGCATGGCATGGCATGGATGTGCTTATGTGTGTGGTTGGTTGGTTGGTTGGCTGGTTGGTTGGTTGGTTGGCCTGTTTGTTGTCAGGGTGCGTTCAACGATCGCCACGGCGGCTATGGCGACTACAGGGGCTTTCACGGCGGCGGCAGAGGGGGGCACTGGAATCCCTATCGGGGCAGCAGGGGCGGCCGCGACAACAACTACTTCCACCCCACACACAGCCGTGGCGGTCAGCATCACCAACCACCGCACAACGGCCACGGCGGCGAGAGCCCACTGCGTTGGAAGAAGAAAGACAAGGACCCCAAGCCCACCAAGCAGCCCCAGCAGACACCCACCCCGCCATCGCAGTCCCAATCGGCAGAGTCCGAGGCACAGCCTGCCGCAGCTGCAGCTGCAGCTTCAGCAGCCCCAGCAGCCGCAGCACCGGGGTATGAGCCATCCCCCGGCCCCATCTCTGTTCGGGACACCACGACAGCCACCGGTCGCCCCGCGGGTCGCGTCGAGGAGGGTGGGCTGACGACGACACCGCCCGAGGTACGCGTGCCGCCAGCGAGGTCACCCGAGCCCAGCCCGGCTGCGTCGTCTGAGACAATGTCCCAGGGGTCGTCGATGCATCTGTTGCAGAAGGGCAGCGGCGACAGCGCCAACGGAGCCTCGGCCTCCAACGCCCCCACCCCGCCTGTGGGCGTCAAGGCCACCGTGGATCGGACCGGGCAATTTGACGAGGTGAGTGAGAGGAGCGGATGGATGGATGGATGGATGGGAGGGAGGATGGTGGGCATGTCAGTCCGTCTCATGTGTCGTGTGTGGTGTGGTATGTCTGTGCCTGTCTGTGTATTGTCAGATCGACGCGCTTGGGAATGTGTGCTCGACTCGTGCGCGTGTGGCGGTCAGTGCGGGCACCTCGAGCACTGGGCCTGGCGGCGGGCGCGGCCGAAGGAGAAATCGAGGCCGCGGACGGGGGGTGGCTGATGGTGGGGACGGTGTTGCGGAGGCCGCCCTGGCCCGCGAGTGCGCCCGCTCTGAAGGTGGCATGCGATCGGTGCCCCCCCAGCAGCGCGCGTCTGCTAGTACTCAAGGTGAGCAGGCTTTGACTGAACGACCTGCTCATCCATTCATCCATCCATGTGTGGGTGTGTCTTCCTTGCTGCGCTGCAGGTCGGTCTGTCGGGTCGTCGGTTCCCCCCGCAAACAGCCACACCAACAACAACTCCCAGCGCCCATCATCGTGGATGCTTCCCCCTGCGGACGACGGAGCCACAAACCCACCTGCTGCCAGCCCACCCGCTGCGCCGCCTGCTGCACCATCCCAGGACAATACCGACACAGAAGCGGCCCCGATAGAGGCCGCTGACACCCAGCCCCCACCCGTACCCGAGGCTGTCGACGCCACAGCGGCTGAGTCGTGTGCCCCAGGGGAGGAGGCGGCTGCCGATGAGGGGCCGATTGAAGAGGTGGTCGTGTCGGCGAGTCCTGGCTCGAATGAGGTGGCAGGGGGCCAAGGAGAGGCCAGGGATGGTGCTGACGGCGAGCAGGCTGCTGAAGAGGTTGGAGAGGGCGTCGAGGAGAGACAGGTCGGTGTCGAGGAGCCCCAGGATCAGACCGAGGGAGGACTGGAGGAGGATAGCGGCCATGGCCATGTGGACGAGGAGCAAGCCGAAGAGGCTGAACAAGAGGAAGAGCAAGTACGGACACACACATACACACACACACATGCACACCGTGCAGACCGACACGCTTTGCTGATTCCTCTCACTGTTTCTCTTTTCTTCCATCTCCCCTTTGTCCGTCCGTCAGGTTGAGTCACCCCCTACGTCTACCCAGTTGCAGCTGCCGGCCCGCGCCACCCAGCGTGAGCGTGCCACGAATGCTGACGGCTGGGTGGACGTGTCGTCGCTGCGGCGCAAGGCCAGATGCCAGTCACCTCCCGTGCGCTTCACCTCGTCAGCGTCACCCACCAAGGGCGCCAAGAAGAAACTGGCGGATAACCCCTTCTCGGGCTTCATCGACAGCGACAAGTCAGACAGCGAGAGCGAGGCGTCGTCTGGTGGGGCGGGCGATGTCGCCAACGACAAGTCGAGAGGTGACCGGACGCCCGAGGCGCGCCAGGAGGTGCTGCGGCGAGTTGACGAGAGGAAGGGCGCCCACCTCGAGAAGCCTCCGTCATCGCCCCAGCCGGAGTCGCAGCCTCCCTCACCATCCCCATCACCGTCACCCCCCTCACAGCAGCCGTCGATCGAGCCGCCCGTCACGCCCCCAGCGGACCCTCAGCCGCCCTCGGCCGCCAACCAGGACCCCAAAAGCTCAGCAGCCACGGCAGGAGAGCCGGGCTGGACCGAGGCTGGCGGCAAGAAGAAGAACAAGAAGAAGAGCAAGAAGGGCAAGGGCGACAAGACATCGACTCAAGACACGGCCCCACCAGCTGCCGACGCTGATCCCTCCCCGGCTGCTGCGGCTGCTGCGGCCGCTCAGCCAAGCACAGTCCAGTCATCTCCCTCAATGCCAGTGTCATCTACCCGCGCAGCCACACATGAGATCGTGCAGGACGCTGCCGCACCATCGCAGCCAACGGTCGAGGAGCAAGAGGCCAACAAGGGAGAGGGAGAGGGAGGGGGAGAGGGAGAGGGAGAGGCTGGGATGGGCGAGGTCGGCGAATCCCCCGCGGCCCCTGCCGCTGCGGCAGCTGCCGCTTCGACGCCGTCCAAGTCGGCGAGGCGCCGGGCGAAGAAGAAAGCCCGCAAGGAGGCGGAAGCGGCAGCTGGACAGCAGGAAACCCCAGCCACCGGAGACGCTGACGACGCCCCTGCACCAGCAGCTGCATCAGCCGCACCAGCGCCAGCAGAGGTCACTACTGCCGACCAGGCCCGCGAGCCCGCTGCTGCTTCCCCTGAGGGCGAGGCCGAGGCTGCCCCTGAGCCGGTCGTCGAGAAGGAGGAGGCGTCGCCCCGTGTCGAGGAGACCAATGAGGCCGAGGGGGACGACGACGCAGCTGCAGCAGTGCGTGAAGAGGTCGTGACCGAGGGGTCTAAGGAGGATGGCCCAGGCGGCGAGGGCAAGAGTGCTGAGGGTGATGGGGCGGCCGCTATCGACGGCACCAAGGAGGAAGGGGAGGAAGCCGTGACTGAGGAGAAGGCCGAGGAGGACTCAAAGGACAACCAGCAGGAGGGGTGCGGGGGCAAGAAGA